TACTGTTGTGAACTCAAAAATGTAATGAACCGCAGATGGGGACTCGAATCAGCACCGGAAAGCTCGAAACCAACACGCAAAACAGCATGAAAAAAATTCGAATAGAAGAGAAGCACCAGCTTCAAAGAACATCGCGTATGGAAAGCACAACGTTAATGTAAGTGTATGAAGACCTACATATTGCCGGAATCCCCAATTATCTAATCAATCTGACATTTGCTTTAACCATTATATTTCTACATCTTTCTTTTTGTGTTAAACACATATCAACTAAGCTCACACTTTTTCAAAAATGTGATGTAACGGAAACAATGATGCCTTAAACAATCAGCTTTCCAACAGAAATTCACACAAATATAAAGTCAATAAACGAAGGTACGGGATAGAGACGGGCCTCAAAACAGATTGATTTTCCTTTTAATTCAGAATCAATGAACATTCCCTCCAAGTGAAATTGTACATATGACTTCAACGGAAAATCGGCAACAAGGACTTGGATTGGGAACCTCGATGACAACCTCAACGGTTCGATGATCGGAAACCTCTCACGTTTCTATCACTGTTTCTACTGTATTTCCGACCAGTTATGGTAGCAGCAGATGTAAGATGGTGGAATGGTAGCGGAGTGTTTGTGTGTGTGTGTGTGTTTGCCGGTTTCAATGGTGGTCGCCGGAACTCAAAACCAAACAGATTGGCATTCAAACTTCACTGTTCGATCTGAATCTTTCGAAAACAGCCTCTCTATCCTCTTAGATAGGGACAAGGTCTGTGTACACTCTATCCTCCCCAGACCCCACTTGAATTGTTGTTGTTGTTGTTGTTTTTGTTGTTGTCAAACAGCTTTTTTTTAATCAATATATTGTTCTGAACCATTTTAATTATGAAAACATGTAACTTCCAGTACCTTCTTTATCTCTAGTTTCTGATCATGCAAATTTTATCTTAAAAAATTATAAGTTCACAATAATAGCATAACTTGTAAATCTATAAACTATGCCACAATCTTAAAGAAGTTAAACATCACCCGCATAAATACTTGGGAGAATTACATCCCTTGTCACATGGCCCAACAACATATCAAAAAATGGCCCATATTTGAAGCCCTTACTCAGTATAGCCCAGGTTGTACATAATCTGAAAATTAATTTTCACCAGTTAGTCCACCCCTTATTTCTTCGTTCCCCTTTTTTCTTCGTTCTTTTACTCATTCCCATGTCAGCCTTTGCACCACAAAATTTCTCTACTATTGTTATTCTCCTTCAATTCTTTTTCGGATTTCAATGGTTAACTAAGGTTTTGAAAAATAAAAGTCACCATTACAAGTGATTCGAAGATTCGATTTCAGAAATTGACTTTTTCGATTTGTTAGTTGTTTGGAATGGGTGCTGTCTCAATTGATTGGAATCACCAAGATGAGTTCAAAACTTAAATTTCAAGTGATTTGGAGTAGATTTAGGCTAATTTGAGAAATTGAGTTTTCTGATTTGTTAGTTGTTTGGAATGGGTGGTATCTCAATTGATTGGAATCATCAAGATGAGTTCAAAACTTAAATTTCAAGTGATTTGGAGTAGATTTAGGCTATATTTGAGTTAAATTTCAGAAGATGCCCATGGAAGAAGAAGAACACGTGAAGCTCCATTGATAGGATTCATTTGTATAATAATGTGTAATATTGTATAAATAGTATATAATAGTGTATAAACACAACTTATACACTATTATATCCAAGGTTGATACATTATTTACAGGTATTTGGTGAATTTCTCGCATTCATTTGTATATATACACCTATATACATATTGTATCAAGAATATTTTCACTCTGTGATTATACATCTTTATACACTTTTATACAACTATATACATACTGTACCTCTTTGTATAAAAGTGTATAAGCATCGCTGGTGAAATTGTTGTACGATTTTCACTTGCAATTCTTGTATAAAACTAATCCAAATATCCAGCAAATAACTTTAAACTTTGTATAAAACCTACTTAGACTATTTCTAATAAGTTCAAACAATACTCACTCCAAATTTCTCACAAAATCATAATCGAAAATTAACAAGATTAGCATTAAAGGAGATGAGATTTTAGGTTTCTCGCGTCTGTTTTTGCGTTTTGCAGTTGTGATAGGTATGTATAAACCTGAAGATATACAAAATTTAAATATAAAAAAACAGAGAAGTATTGGTTATGGAAGAAGGCACGAATGGGTGTTGATTGTATGGGGAACTAATTTTTCTTTTCAGTTTTGTTTGCATATGATTCTTTTTCATTAATTAAATTAAATATTTATGGGTGAAAAATGAGGAGAGAGCTACAATGGGGTAGGTAGGAATAAATGAGGTTGTTATAATTAGAGGGAATGAGAAAAGAAAAGATCTTATTGATATTTGGCTACACATTTGCAAACTTGTAACCGGACTAAAATAGTGTAAGGTCAACTTATGGAGTGCATTATTCCGTAATTTTGTCTAAATATTTGGCTGAATACCTAGATAGCCCTTTAAATTTGCCCCATTTTTCATTTTAGACACTAAAATTAAGGATTATACCTATTGAACGCCTCAACTTAAATTATGTCTATTAAATACACATTGCTGACATGGCATAGCATGTTAATACAATTTCCTCTCAAAGCGTGAAAAGTCTTGCTTTTTTAGCTTTTTAAATATTTTGCTTGTCTCCTCCAACCACAATCTGGCGCCACCATTTCCAACACCTCTGCCACCTTCTGCCATCATCCACTTTCCTCCTCCTTTCTCCTCGTACCAATTGTACCACCATCAAACTTCCCCTCGCCACTACCAAATTTACGACAATCCAGCATCACCCACTCTTCCGTCTTCGCCACCACCAGCAACTTTAGGCCACAAGCCAGAAAGAAAAAGGCATTAGCCAAAATTTGACTGTGACTAACTAGTTTGATGCGGAAAGAACACAATGGTGAGGAAAATAACTCACATTCAGCTTCAACATTCGAACACCTGCATCCGAACGTCTTCCTTGATTTCGTGGTTAATAGAAACCCATCATTTTGAATCAATTTCTTAATTCTCAATTGTGCAATAAACTAAATTTGGTCCCAAACCACTAGGATTAAACACATCCCAGAATCAAAAAAAAAAAAAAAAAATAATGGTAAATCACGTTGCATTGTATTCTATCTAGTAATCACGGTCCCAGTCGAAACAGAGAGCAAATGGAGAGGCTCAAGCATATCAACAACCGAAAAGAGTCAATAAGTAAGAAAGCTACCATTTTTCTCCACATAAAACTTTCAATTTATCTTCTTCGTCCACCAAATAATTTTCTCTAGAACTTCCAGTCAAAAGACGATTTTGCAAAAAAAAAATCTTCATAACTCTTCATCAAAGAAAAACCAGTCGAATTTTTGGGGTGTGGGGTGGGTGAGTTGCGTAGGTTGTTCTAGGATGGGTGGAATGTTGGATGAGGTGTCAAAAGGTGGTTTGTTGATTTTTTGTGTGGAACTCACGCGTTTGCAGTTTTTGGGTGACTGCAGAAAAGTGTTCAGTTGGCACATTCTCTACCTGTTTGAAATGTTCAACGTTCAGGTATCTAAATGGAAAAAACGGGCAAGTTTAAAAAGTTGAATATGTATTCAGCCAAATACTTTATATCCACTTCACTCTATTAACAGCACAATAGTATAACTATGAAACTTCAAAAGAAATATAAAGATGAAGAACATGAACAAGGAAACAGAAATTGAAAATTCCTGGGAATGAGGACACTTATAAAAATGAAGAATATGAATTAGCGATAGGCAAACCCAAGATTATAAGCAATGGAGAAGCGCTCCGTTATAACAACTGAATATATCCCACTTACAATGGCACATGTGATAAAAATATTGCCAAGCCAACTGGAAAACCTGTATTATAATTCTTCATTTTGAATCTGATCACCCAAAATCTTAGAACAAAATGATACTAGCACAATGCACATCTCAGAAATTTTATCTAGTCCAACACATGACCTCCTCCTTTGAGCTCCTCAGAGGCAAAAATTGACTTTGACAATGGCGTACACGGTTATCAGATCATAATTTACAATGCGACCTTGGAAGGTAAAAAAGAAGTAAGCAATGTCAGGCATCTGAGTGATTCCCATGTAAAGCCACCACTTGAAGCTCAACCAGACTGCCACTTCTTCAAAACAATTGAATAAATTGCACAAGGGAGTACAAACAACGAGCCGAAGCTTCTTCATAGTGAAAAAAAAAGACGAAATGCTACAAAGCATCCTCTTATAGAGCCATTCAACCTTACAAATCACGAGGAAAATTGTTGATTTGGCCTTCCTCCAAGACATCTTTGTTATTGACCTTATAACTTATCCGTATACGCATGACAATGGATTTCTGGGAAATGAAGATAATGATATAGCCGTTAAAGATTCAAAAATTCATTAGTGAAATGAAAAGTACACTCAATCTCACGGTTTAAAGGAACTTCATAATTTTGAAATACATTCAATTCCGATGGCTGATAAACAAATTTCTATTACTAGTTTCAGTTTCTTATAGCAAAGATTGTTACATAAAAGAACAACTTACAGCTGCAGCTATCTTTTCAAACCTCTACAAGGGAAAATATTTTTTCAACAATTTCGAAAGTTTCCAATCTCACCCATGTCATATCCAATTTACTAGAATCCACAAAGAGAGTACCATTGGTAAAAGCCAGAAGTCATAAAGCATATTTTCATTATTATCATTTTGTGGATCAACGACGTACAAACATTTCAGTAATAATTTCTCTTCATGAACAAATGGAACAAATGAAATTCTGTAAGTTAGTGTTGACTCATAATCCTGTAACTAAACTCAAAGACGATTGGACATGCAACATGATTGTTAGATTATCAGTATCAAGTTGATAATGAGCCTGGACGATATTTTATATAAATCGTCTATATGCATTCATTCTATTTGTGTCAATTCCTTTCTAATACTGGAAAATATTTGTGCTGTAAGTCAAAATAGGGGCTAAGGCTAGAGGTTTCTAAATCATACGATCTATACATTTATTTCTACCCAGTCAAAGTCTATTAAAAGTAATCCAAGACAGTAAATGAATAATTCACATACCTTGCCATGTTGGCTGTTTGTGACTCTTAACTTTTGTGTGATTGATCCATTACCGCTTGCAGGTAGGGTATTACCGCTAGCTGGATCCAATTGCAGTTGAAGGAACTGGATAGACATGCCAAATAAACTTAGTCAAGAGATGACTAATGGTACATGTACTGAGAATTTAAAAATTAGCTATCCAATATGTATTAAATTGATAGTCAATTGTGATAAATCAAAGGATAGGTATACCAAGAATTACCAATTCATTTAAGCCTTCAGCAAATTGTATTAGAAGATTCTCTTTCAGAACTTAAAAGATGAACCTAAAAATTGCATTGAAAGATTTTCTTTTAGAACAAGAGATCCATTTACAACAGCCTCCAAGCTATCACCGATATTTCAACCGATCAGAAAAGTCAACCATGTTGAGATATTGGAAGGCATGAAATCCACATCAAGGGCAATGCAGCACTGTATGGAGAAAAGATTTATTGACACACTTAAAATGACTTTTTATTTTTTTTGATTTGCACCGGGTGTCCGAGTCTCTAAGAGCCCCGATTAATCACGGGGGTGCACAGGCCCTCAGCAAGGAGTTTCCCGCAAGTGCACCACGGTTAATTCAGGTTTTACCCAGTCCGATGGCCCTCAGAAATTGTTTGCACCCAGTGGGTTTCGAACTTGAGACCTTGAAAGGGAGCAAACCCCAAGGCTCAAGTCTATTGCCACCAGGCCAACCCCTGAGGGTTCACTTAAAATGACTTTATACTAGATAACTACCAACTCTACCTATGTGAGCCTTGCCGGTCCCAAGCCCAGATAAAGGAGAAGGGTTGCGGTAGGCTGACAGCTAGCTTAGAATAGCCAATTCATTATTAATCCTGGCCTACAAATTGAAAGGTAGGTTTTATAGAATAGTTAGACTAGCACGGTTACAATGAGAGTGAATGATGAGCCTTAAAGTCCAACATATTCACAAGATGAGTCTCGATGCAGATGTTAAGATGGATGTGCCGTCATACAAGGTTAGAAATGACCACATTCGCCAAAAGATGCAAGTAGCACACAGTGAGGATAAAATGAAAGGTCGCTTGAAATGGTTTGGATTTGTTCATGTCTGTGTCGACTTCCAAATGTTTTGATTTATAGTTGAAAAACCATGGAAACTGAAGGTTTTAAAAGGGGACGAGGTAAACCTAAAATCACATGGAAGGAAATTGTCTCGAAGACCTATAATTTCTTGGAATCTTTGCAAACTTAGCGAAACATAGAGCACAATGGAAGAAGAAGAGTGATACCAACTAGTTGGGAATATATTTTAGTTATGTTAGTACGTTCCTTTTAGGTCTTATGCTTTCTAACAGTCTTTAGCCCTATCAGTGGTTTTTATGCCATTAGCAAATATATAGAACTTCTAGTACCTTTTATATTTATTTTGTATGATGTTGGCTTGACATGAATTTGAATGGAGAAATATGATCGGTGAGAACTCATATAACAGACCCCAACTTGTTTGAGACTAAGGCACGCTTTTTATTGTATACCCGGTAACTACCAAAATGGCACAAGCCCAAGAGTGAAAATCGACACTCAAAACAAGCCCCTTGACCCCCCCCCCTCTCCTCCCCCCGGGCCCCTGACAGTCCACGCCCGAGGTTGGACATCTAGGCCATGGACAACATGGGGCTGGGGGACTAACATTGGGTAAACGAAAAGTTGTTGGATTGACTATGATATCGTGTAAAGAATTTTGGGTCTAACTCAACTCAAAAAGCCAGCACATGAGAGGATGATTGCCCAAACCACAGGAGACAATAGTTCTTTCTCTCAACTAATGTGGGACACTCTAATACATGGACCGTCATTCTTCCAAGAAGAAATAACGAAAAGGAAAATAGTAACACAACAAATTAACTATTGGATGATTGTTCCTTTTCTTACCTTTGGAACTGCTGCCTGGAAGATGAAGTCCGTGAAAACATCTTGTGACTTATTCGTGAAACTACCTTCAACAAGTGTTGTCTGTGGGTTTCCAGGCTGCTTTGACAAATTGAATGTTAATTTCAAGGAGCTGCTCTCAAACGCAGTAACTGATGATTGTCCTGGACCATTGCCTTCTGTAACTTACAAAAATGGTTTCAGCATTTCAAGAACAAAATAAGACTGGCCGAGAAGGTTAAAGAGCTTATAGAGATTATACCAGACATCGGTGGACTGGAAGGAAGCCCATTCAATAAATCCAACATAAAAGAATTTCCACTTGTAGATGAGACTTGCGCTGAAGGAGCTGAAGGTGTGGACAGTCTATCTAATATATCCAATGGACTTTTATTGTCTGTATTGGAGGATAACATCTGAGCTGTCAATGAGCTGCTTTGAGCAGGAGGAGTTCCAATTGACAAAAGATCGAGTAAAGCATCAGTACCACTCTTTTGGCCCTGATTTGTATCTGAAATTCAAAGAGAAAAATCAACTATGAAGTCAAGTTTATGTTAGATGTCAATTTATGCTTGGAATGGCCAAAAGATACCAATTAAATTTTAATTACAGTAAAGCGGAAAAAAAATGTGAGGATGATCAGAATTAACAATCAGGAAAAGAATTCTGAAAGATTCATGCAATACATAGCAAATGTGACCTGATTGCAAAGACACTAGCGTCAGATTGACACCAAGAAGATCCTGAAGAAACTCTCCACCAGAAGAGCTAGGTGCAGGAGCATCATCTGAACTAAGATCGAGTAAGTCAGCAACAGGAGCAATACTGGGTTTGGCAGCTCCATTTGGAAGATTAACTGATACTCCTTTTGAAGTTGACACAGCTGCCGGCACAGAACCAGCTCTCCTTCCGCTGAAAGTTGCTTCATCCAGAACTGGCATTCTCTCTGCTAGTGAAGACCTGAAAACATACATCCAGCAACTTCTTAGCTTAAGTACACTAAAAAGACAACAGCAGGCATAGAAACAACCTTCCACAAGAAATCAATCAAACCTCATATTCTGATGCCTCTCAATAATCGAGTTAAATTCAATAGCTCTCTGTTGCAGTTCAAGCACAAAGCTTCCTTTATACTGACCAATGATATCATTTATCCGCCTGCACCAAACAACAGCATTGCAGATTACTCACTTAGACGCATTATAAGACCAACTATTTTTAAAGGCACTGAGCATCATGTTAAGAATATTCAAAAGGTAAAAATGCAATTTACCAAGTCTGTGTCAAGACCCAGAGGTTAGTTAATTTGATTAGCAGTTAAACAGCTGAGGCTAGTTAGTCATAGATGAGGCGGACGGCTGAGGTTGAAAGTTCAGTAAATGTGCTCAATGGTTGTTATTTAATCCTGGCCAAATAAAATAGCACGTGTGGAAGGAAAGGAAGGTTTTTGATTTATTAGCCAAATTCTGGTAAATTCAAATTCTCTCCCCTTCACGTTTTTTTAGTGCTTCCTTCATCTAATTCTTGTTCCTAATTCAATCCCCCATTCATGAAGAGGTAAAGCTGAGCTATGACGTAAGGAGTAGAGCTGAAGATTGTTGAATTTCCCTTGTTTCATTTTTCAGTTGTTCTCTTTTCAGTTTCGATCTCGTATTCAGTTGTATGTTAATTTCCTTTTCATTAATAAAAACGACCTCTGCTCTCGGTAGATTGGGAAATTGTTTCATTAAAGTGTGCGATTGCAAGTAGAGAGAACATTCCCAAGGAACTATACATAATACAACCTGAGAGTAATGTAGACAACAAACAGATAAAACCAAAATTAAATACAAACTTCCTTCTCAACATTGCTGAAAAGAATAGGTATGTTAAGAAAACGTACATTGGCCTAACTCAAACCTAAAAGTTAGCGTACGTGGTGAGAATTGTACTAAACCAATAAGGAAACGCTAGCATATACACTTTAACCGATGTGGGGTTCTAACACTCGGCGTGCAATTTGGAAGATAGAGCAACATAACAGGAATGGCCCAACATTGGGTAGTCCAACATACCCCAGGGCTTTGGTTCGGTAATGAAGGAAGTACAGCGCATTGTGTGGTAACTAACATCACAAGTTTGAACTCCGCAGGAAGGTAGAGGGGAAATCCCTGGACCTGTGCGTCAACTAGGGCTAGGCCAGCTAACCCAGGGATTTCTCGATTAACATTGGTTAGTCCAACATCAAAAAATCTGGCTATGATTCCATGTTAAGAAACGGACCTTGGCCTAATTCAACTCGAATGTTAGTGCAAAGAAAATGAACCTTCAGTCTAACCCAACCCAAAAGCTAGCTTATAAGGTGAGGATTGTCTAACACCATATAAGGAAGCAATAACCCATTCTTTCAACAATGTAAGACTTTTTAAACCACGCCTAGACTGGACCCCAAGAGCATGGAAAATATAACATAAGAGACCAACATTGGGTAAACAGAAAATAGGGATGGATCTGACTCTAATACTAATGTAAAAATGATGGACCTTTATTCTAACTCAACCCCTAAGGATGTCCAAAATAAAATAAGGAGACAATAGCCTATTCCCTCAACCAATGTGGGACACTTAACCGCTAGCTCAAGTGGTAAGAAACCAAGATAATATGAGGAGATTACAGCCCATACACTTACCCAATGTGGGACTTTATCAAGGTTAAAAGGAAGGTACACTTCTATTTCTCAGCAGAAAAAGGAAGGTATACTTCTTCAAGAAGATGAGTATTAGAGAAACCAAAAGGAGTTGCATAGAGTTGAAAAGAAGATGGCAAGTAGTCTCTATAGAGATCAAACATCCTTTCTAAAAGAGAAAACCCAAGAATTACCACCATAATATCTACACCTTTGACAGAATTACTCGATTGCAGAAGGAATGTCTTTAAGTTCATCAACATGGGGTAGGTGATTAGTAACTCAAAAGCGAGAAGGGGAAAGGAGCTGCCTCAGCATAAATTAATCGAGGCAAATGAGCTAATTAATGGCAAAATGAAATGGACATGGCAAGGCTATATCAAGGGAGAACTAAAACAAAAACAGCCTCTGGTTACTAGAAAACGGAGCAAGAAATAGCTCAACTGGATCAAAGGCAGTGGTGGTCAGAATTGTGTTAAATGACTGAAACTAATCAATCTTTAAATACATATCAGCATTCCAGGATGGAACTTGGATCAGGTTTTCACAATCATCAAAATCTTACTTATTGAAGGAAACGGAAAAGTTTCTTGGCTCTTCAGAAACTTAAGAGTCAGACAATTAACCAATCATAATATTGATGGAAGAAACATAAAGTTATTCATAATGCTTGAATAAGGTTGATTGGTAGGAAGAGCATCACATAATTGTTTAAATTAAACTAGTTAATGGATAAAGTTTTGAAACTTGTGAATAGTCGAGAAGCAGCGAGAAGCTGAAGATTGTAAAAGCACAAGAGGCAGATTCGATCATGCAGACTATTTACCAAAAAGAAGAGTTTCACAGAAAAATAGAGCATGATAGACTGTAGACTATAGCTGAACAGGAAAAAACAGATATCCAACTGAATGGAAAAGAATACATACTGTGAACAAGATGGAAAGCGACTTGACAGCTTTAACAAAGCAATCAGACACATTGCCTGAGTTGTAAGATCACACGAATGGCTTTTGATCGATATCTCCACCACATCCACAGCATCCGACTCTGTCACCTGCTCCAAAAAACTTCATCATATATGCCCCAGAACAAGAGAACTATTATGCAGAAAAAGCTGAAACGATAATAACATGCACCCAACTTCAAAAGGGCAAAAAGCTTAATCTCTTTTAGATGAAGAAAGCTTAATCTCTTTTATTAAGGAGATACAGAAATTGTGAGAAAGCACGGGAGAAAAATATATTATTGATATTTTATATTAAATGTTTACAATAGCCCTATTTATAACTATATACAATACATATTTTGCTCCTATTCTAGGTGGGATTATGGTTATTTACATAACTATCTAACTGAAATAAAATACAAAATATTTAGTATTCTTTATAGACCATCGTTTGGACTATCCATCCTTTGTTTTTATAAATAACATTTTTATTTGACTAAAGTACATTACCAAATGGCAGATGCACATAATAACAACAATGTTACACAATATATCGTCCAAATTTGGCCTTGAAAAATGAAATAAACTAGTAGCAGCTTATTGGGTAAAACATAAGTGTTTGTTGATAGTTCTTTTCTTTCACTCTCCCCTTTTTCTACTTTTTTAGTATTTCTAAGGAATATGGCATTTCTTGGAGATCTGAATTCTCTATAGTATTTGAAATCACATGGAACTAGCTTACAGTCTTTACCACATTCAACCAGAGCATATTAGTGAACTTCCAATAAATACTACAGGAAGCAACAGTTATAGTTATTGTCAACACATCCATGGAGAGTTTCCCAATGGATGATAATAACGAATGAGAAACTTCATCCAGAGAATGCTGGATCACACAGGAAATACAAGCTGGTCAAGAATATGATGCTAGATTAATATGGAGAAAAATATGCATAAACAATATTTGCTAAGAACTGTCCAAAAGCATAAACTCACAGTTAGGTGTTCTTCTATGTCAAGCCTTCCGAAATTACTGACTAACATTTCACCATACTCTCCAATGCACCAAACTGCAACTCGGACAAGAGTTTCCTAACAAAAAAATGTCAAAAAGATTACAGTAAAAAATACAGACATATTCAGGACAAGAAAACTGCTCATGGGTTACATGAACTTGGATTCTGAGAGAAGATACAGGCAAAGCACGAAGTACCTGTTCCCCTGCTGTTTGCACGGTTCTATATAAAGATCGTACAGCATATCCATGGAGGTCAGAAGCATTTGTAATCACCACAATCAGAGCATGCCACACCTCGTCCTTCACATAATTTCCAGCCTATAGCACAGACGACATATTAGTACTGTTTACCCACACACACAAAAAAAAGGAAGAACAAGCAGATCCACCAAAACAGGCAGACATGAACCAGATGTTAAGGACTGGCACTTTGACAGATATTGAGAAATATTTATGATATAGATCACATACGTATCCAGCAACGGGCTTCAAACATGTAGAGTCAAAATCTATAACCAGCAGCATAAGCACATTCATTTGCGACTAAGTGCCATTACATGTATGAGATTATGAGGTTGGTTCTACAAAAGTTTGATCAGAGGAACGTATGATAATTAGCGTTAAGAAGATAATATCCTCAATTCAAAAACCTATGTGAGACAAAAACCTTGGGGAGTAAGCTGGATGTATTTCCAAGGAAACAACTAGCTGAAGAACATGTGGAGGACTATCACTGGCTGTGTTTTTTGAACAATTTGGAGAGAAAGAAACTTGATGCGCTTTGAGGGCAATATAATTCCCATCCAAATGTTGAAATTTAAATGCTTATCTAATTTAGCTACATGATGTATTTTGGTGGATACATATGATGAGGGGAAATTGCTAGATATTGTAGATTCATTGCAGAACCGAGCTTTATTGTGCTATTTTGGCAGTCTAACATTCAGCACTGTCTTTGTGCTGGAACTTTCTACGAATAAAATTGTTTACTTTATTTTTTTTAAAGCTTTGGCAATATGTCGTAAACTTTAATAGTTTGCAATTTGTCACTGCAATTGTTTCTCGTTGAAAATGGATATCGTATTATCACTTCACAATGAGTAATTTCAGATAAATGGCGTTCTTTTTTTCCTATAATCCCTCTCGGAAAATTCATAACTTGAGGGAGGTGGATGAGCCCTTGTAAAAAGTATTCTAAAACATTAATTTTTGTTTTTAATTTAACTCAAACAAAGTCTACCAATGCCAAAGATTTGGTAGGCTACTATCAAAAATGGATCCGACCCTCTACTCTTCTCCACTTAAATACAAGCCTTTTGTCAGCGGTAAGGTTCCAACTCGTGATGTGCGTCTAACCCATATATCACGTGCTGAGCTCTAACAACTAGACCAAAGCCTTGGAACAGCAATTCACAGATAATAATAGTACTCCAATCTAGAATTTCAAAGTTGGAGAACCCACCTTATACCAATGTGGGCTCACCTACGTGAGCTTCCAATAGCTGGTTCCTTGTTCAATAAAGGAGATAGGTTGTAGGTTGATGTTGGCATATAGCCAATTTATGATGAACCCTCATAGAAATTGATATAGACGATTTGTATAGCAAACTCCAACTAGTTTGGGATTGCGCAATAATGGTTATTCTGCCATAATCGTTTTACTAACATATATTTGTAAAAAAGCTGTACACTTTTGAGAATCAGCAAAGCAGTTCACGAGTAAGAGAAATTTGAGAGAGATTTTACTCTACAATTGAGAAAAAGGCCGGCATGACCACATAATCCATTCAGTAAGAGTGTGACCTCTGCACTACCAAACTTTGGCACATAGAATATAGCTAACCACATACCTATCCAGGTAGTAAAACACAAAAGTGTCTTTAAGGGAAAGACAAGATGGCCAAAAAGTCAAAAAGACCAGGCCATAACTAAATCATATTGTAGTTTGCATGCTAACATCAGAAGCCCCATAGAGTATTGATTTGAAAGATAAAGAAGTATCTAAAAAATTTTATGAAGAAGAAGAGAACTAAATTTATGAATCTACCAGCTTATGCATACCTCGGAGAGGACCTTGAGCATCTGATCAATGTACCAAATTTTCTCAGGGGAGAACCTATTGCACCATAAGCAGTTGTAAGTACAAGATGCATTTGAAGAGAATGAACAATCCATTTGTTCAGGAAAGTTATCTAACCATATTACATCACAAGATCCCCTTGGGCACACAACCAGAAAAGTCAACAGAAACAAAGCTATGTAATCATGTTACAACACAAAAATCAGCTAGGGGACACAATCAGAAAAATCAACAGAAACAAAAACAGGAAATAGCAAAGCAATAATCAGAAGATCTATTCCCAGAATATTCAGAAGCAGGAGTATTCTGTGAATTACAAAAAGAAGAGATGACAAGTTTGACAATTGTTCAGTGCTGACTTACTTTTCCACAATAGAACAGATTTTGGCAGTCAGATCTCCCTTAAACTCTGGATCACTTACTTCCAGATGTTCAGTTAACTCCTTGATCAATGGCTTCACATTGCTGTCGTTTATTAATAGATACACTAGATCAAGGGCTCTTTTACGAATTGATGGATCAGAGTCCTGAAAATTAAATAAGCACATAAATTGCAACAGAAACTATAGAAATGAACACTTTGGGAAAAGATGTCAAACATTCGCATTTCAACTCAAGAAGCCGTATAATGACAGAAGTACCAAAATTTGAAGATGCCATTAACTATGTTCTGTAGAAGTATTAGGAGGGACTCCACATATGAGAGGAAAGAACACTGAGGATTGAAGAAAAGGAAAGACGAGATGCAACAAATTATTTTTTTTTTATGAGAAGAAACAATAAAGTATAAAGGTAACATACCTTCACGCATTCCAAAATTGTTGCCCTATGTCTCTGTACTGCTTGACTATCTACAGCTATAGCTTTCATCAGCATGTTCAGAGCCACATATCTGAAATAACTGAACCTCATTATAATGGAAAGCAGATTGCAAGAAAAATAGCAGTAAGTATGCAGAACGTGGCTTTCAACACACAGAAGGAAACCCCTTTTTCCCTCTACTTTCCCGACAAGAAAAGAAAGAGAAACAAAGAAAATTAAACAGGTATTATTGTCATGGTTGTGGTACGCAGACAGGAGCATCTGCAGGTGGCAATAATGGTAGCCAACTGACAGCATGAAGATTTCTGTACTGATTTCCATGCAGGTTGCAGTCGGATGCAGAGGTGGATCCAAGATTTGATTGGCTACGGGTGCCACTGTATTTAATGCAAAATAGCCACTAATTAAGGAGATTGAATTGGGGTGTGCATTTGGTCGATTCACTCTAATTTTTAATTAATTTGGTTTGGTTCGGGTCGATCAATTTTGAATTAACTTGTTCGCTTTATAAGATATTTGGTGTATAAATAAACTAGATGAGGAAAGGCCCGTATACGAGCCCAACATTGCAATTTTATTAAAATTATTATTTGTTGGTGTTTAGTTAATTAACTTTTGAGGTTTAACAAACTATATATTTTAAAATTACTTTTGAATATAAAAATATTTAGTTTGAAATCGTCTTCAAATAATATGGTAGATGAAAATCATTTAATTTTTATTTTCAAATTGCTTTAAGATAGTATGGGTGAATATGAAAATCTTGTAAATATCGATATTTCTTTTTGTTGTTGTATTATTTAAAAATTAATTTTATTTTCTGTATGGAAACTTCTATTTGAATAAAACAAAATTAATAATTTTCTAAAATGAGAAAAAACAATATGAAATGAGTATTTGCATTGCACAAATAGTCTAATCAACACATGCATAGTGCATAAAGGAGAGTTGTGGCTAGAGGAATATGGGGTCCACGTGTATTTTGCATTTAAGAAATGCAAACATGAAATTTTTATGAAATGACATAGGAAAGTTGTGGCTAGAGGAATGTGGGGTCCACGTGTATTTTGCATTTAAGAAATGCAAACATGAAATTTTTATGAAATGACATATATGCCCTTGGTCAACCATCTTTCTTTTTCTATATAATAGAAATAGAAATATGTGATAACCATACTGAAAATATTTAATCCTTTATTTGAAATCAAGGAAAAAATAACTTAAGATGAATAAAAAAGAGACCCCCAGACCCCCACTTTGTGGGATTACACTGGCTATGTTGTTGTTGTTGTTGTTGTTGAATAAAAAAGAGAAATGATTAAAATCATATTCAAATAAAAATTTGAGATCTTGAAGAAGAAAATAATAAATAATAAAATGGGGTTGTACAAAGGGAGGAAATATAAAGATGAGAAAACTAAAAGAAATTAAGAAAAAGAGAAGAAAAGAAAATGGAAAAAGGGAACAAGTAGGGCCAAGAGGAAAAGTATAAATGGCTTGCTAGTGAGTGATGAGTATTGATCCTGGGTGTAGAATGCGGAAAGGTGGCACCTTTACCATGGCACCTAAGACCAGTTCGCGACTTCGGGTGTCAATCCTTAGTATAAGTTTGTTTCTGCGTGAAATACCAGTACATTTATGAAATTTTACCCGAGCGACCGGGTGGCACACCACCCCTCTCTATACCTAGATCCGCCCCGGTCAGATGCACATCATACCAAAACCAGGGATGTTTTGAGACACAAAAGCATGTCTTACTTTGACTGCAGATAATTAAGGTACAACTTGGGTGGAAGAAGTGAGAATACTCACTCCATTTATGTCTGGAACACATAAAAGAGAATACTCACTCCATTCATTTTATAGGACGGTATCAACAGCTCATTGAGTCAAGATTTTAATTTATTTAAATATAATATTAGTGATAGTGATAAAAATATTAAAGTAATAGTTGAAAAGTTAGTTTTATAAGAAAACATCACATCAAAGTTTAAATCTTCAGTAGTCCAATAAATCAGTATTCTTAGGGATCGTGAAAGATTTATAGAAACGGAATCGTGTCAAACATGTTGGAACATGAAAAAATGAAAAGAGTATCATATAATTAGAACAGAATGAGTATAGCATTAATTTTCTCTAAGTTCCTCATTCCAGCTCTCTAGACTTCGAGCCACTTGGACAATTTCTTTCTTGTTACTTGTCTCTTTGAAATGATGTTCTTTAGTTTTTAAAAGAAAAGTGACAATTCTTTTGAAAAACATCAGAAGCAAAAAAATTGATACATAAAGATGCAACTAAGAAACCTGAATAGAACAACCACAATTAAATAGCATTCTACACAAAAACCCAAATTAATTGGGCAGACCACCAAAATACATACTAAGTCGTGCATCTTTTGATAAGTGTCAAATGCATGACCTTTTTATTCACTATTCCTCAAATTCTTCCACTAACTAAAGATAAACTTCCCTTGTCACTACACTTGGGTGATAATCCATGATTGCTCTTGTCTACCGCTGCTAACAAGCACTTTTAATCATGTTTGTGAATTTTGAGATTGAGTAGTTGATATCTGGTTACAATTTTTCAAATTTTCTAATTTTGTTTTTACATGTTTTACTTTTTATTTCTTTATTATTTTGTGTTTCTTACCATTTTATAAACTCAAAGAAACAAGACTTTTTTTTACCAGCTAAAAAAAGAAAACTACAGGAGCCTGCAATTGTTTGTGCATATCAAATATCAAAATCATTAAAAAGTAGAATAAATTTTCTTATATTTCTATTTATAGGTTTGGTGCAAGTTAGTTTTCTAGTTCTGCTCCTGATGTAACACCAATAGCACCATAAGACAAGAAGACCTTTCACATTCAAGGTGTGTGACAAGAAAACATATAATATACCACTCATTTGCCAAAATATCTGGAAAACCACTTGGAGGGTGATCAGGAAGAAGTCACATATTGAATGTGCATAAACTTTGAGAACGATTAATTCAGCTTCAACCCATGAATATTTTAAGGTGCAATCCTTGGACACAAAAGAGAGTCACAACACATTGGAAGATACCCCAACAAATTTTAGGAAGAAAATAAAACTAGATGGATGAAGATGACCTGATATTATTGTCACGGTTGGACAAAAATCTTCCCAAAATATTAATAGCAAGCACATGTAAACCACCATTATCTTCAATGCTCATGATAGTTTCAACACATTCATAGAGAATAGCGTTGCCTGCATTTTTGTTCGACTCCGTTTTTGTTGCCACCTAAAAAGTAATTCAAAATTGTTAGAGAATGAATAAGAATATATTATTTCACTAAACAGAATAACTTCCTTGATATTCAGCAAATTCCGTTGCATCTTACTCATACCGTTAGTAGTAGCTTCAATGATAGTAAATAGTCCAACGTGCCACAAATTAGTTGTCAAAAAGTGCAAGGAGAAAAAATAAAAGACAATTGCTCAGATTGTTGCATTTGCTTAGATGTTCATGTTAATCAGAGTCTCTGAGCTATGAATAAACTTATCGCGATGCATATGCTTAACACAAGCGTTCACTAGTAGAGCTTCATTCAGTCTCCTCGTTAAGGGTTCGCATAGTAAAATTGCCACATAAGGAGAGCTAGCCCAGCAGGGTGATTGTGAATATCAATTAAGAATTTGATGAGAACAAAAGGAACAAAATAAAATCAAAAGAGTCATGATCTAATATCCCAATGTACTTAAAGCAACTACATACATGGCTCTTTATCCTTGACTATAAGCACACATTTATCAACTACAGTTTATGCGCTTGCTATCTTTATCCTTGACTTTAAGCAATGATGTATCAACTACAGTCCTATCTTGTATAGACATACAGAAAACTCTTGTACAGTCTACCCGAGGAAATATGCCATTCTAGTGCAAGATACCGCAAGTGGAACTGCCAAAACGATGACAAAACATGCCTATGTGGAAAGCATTCAAAAAAATTCAAAATTGTACAACTCCAGTACATTCACATATGCTTCAACAGACCATTGAGATATAACTGACCTGAGCAAGAATGTCATTCATGGAGTCACTAGTGTCAGCATCGCCTTGGCCCAAAACACGCAAGACCTTGAGCAATCTTATATGAAGAAAAGGGTCTGTAATGCCAGAAATGTCATACTCAGGTGCATACGGGCTGTTGGCAACATCCTTTAGAACTTTCACTAAACCATCTGTGCATTTCTATAACCACAGATGAACAGAAACAAAAGAAAAGAAAAATGTAAATGCCTTGTAGAACTGAAAATAAACCTTTAATTCTTATCTATCTCATAATTCAGTATGCATTTAAATTCAAAGCTTATGCGCAGAATATTTAACACAATGATTATGCATTAAAATCCAACATGTTTATGCAGTTAATATATTTTAACACGGAGGTTTAGTACAGTGGAGGGCAAGGTGAAGCATAAAAAAATAGAGCAGGCCTCATTGATTACTTATAGGTACAGCATTCATCGTTTCACTCCAGTTTTTTGGTGTAAGGGAGTCAAGTAAACAATTTAATTTACGTCGTCCTTTCCATCCACTTTCAGAGATGACACAGAAAGAACAGCTCCTTTCCCTTTATACCTCATTATTAGCGAAAGAAACTAAACACTATGCCTCCTCTTTTACTTCATATCCCACCAACTCTTGTCTTTTCACCCCAGCCAATCATGGCACAATTGAAATTAAGATATTACCTGTGCAAGTTTAGTCATTCTTTTCAGTTGGAACTTCAAAAAAAGAAAGTCTGAGGTGTAGAAAGGAAGAACCGGAATTGAAAGCGCGGCAGAGATCCTAATAATGTGCTTCGATCAGTAAAAGTAGAGGTATATCTCAAATCTACTTAACAGGTCACACAAAACTCAAAGCTATAACAAGCAAGAACTAAAAGATAATATGCTGATCAAGCATTTCTGCTCCAAAACATGTACATGGAATGAAAGCAGCATGGAAATCTAGTCCATTATGCCTTTTTGATGTATTTGGAATGGAAAGACCGGGAGGACGTATCATAAGCGATGAGGAAGAGCTTAAGAGATTTAAGTGTTCTTCTTGTTTCCTATCCACTTTTTACGAAGGATACCTTCTAGTTCAGGTAGTTGGGTAGGCTTAGTAGAGAATGATAGTAGCCTACATAGTCGAATGAACTTATAGTTTTAGCGCCATCTTGAAAAATCAAAAAATGAGTGTTTAATTTATCAAAAAGAAAGTCTCTCCTGGTCCCCCCCCCCCCCCCCAAAAAAAAACAAAACTTTTCCTATTACCTCAGTGGGCGTACGTATACCTGGTGGTTGGCATGCCAAAGCTTCACATTCTTACCCTTGTTTTGGAGACACTAGAAAAAGGAATAGCAAGGAAGAGAAATAAAAAGAGGGAAATCGGGAAGAGAAGTATTAACTTTCTTTTCTTGGGCTGAAAGAGAAAATTGGAAGGGGAAAAAAAATTGGATTTAGAGAGAAAATTTATGGGCCCAATATGAATACAATTTCCATTTTGCATACCCAACAAGAGCACAGAAATTTCTAGAACTTCTTCTTGGCCTTTCTTTCTTACCTTTCCAGATAAACCATTAGTTACAAGATTCATTCATGGATTTTCCCCATGTTATCAAGAAAAGAAAAAGATTCCTAAAATTGAACAACCAATAAATCAGCAAATAAAAAAAATTATAAAAACAAGATTTATTCTTGTTAGAACCAAAAGTGGGAAAAAAAGTACTAGGCACAGGAATGATCTCGACAAAGCCTTGAATTACAAAAGCAGTATTTCACATGGCAATGAAATTCAAAACCCTAACACAAACGAGAGTAAAATCTGGAGTTACCATCACAAACACCATGCTCCAAACAAGTACATAGAATAAGGTCATGGAAGCAAAAATCTAAACACCATTCAGAATTTCTCCCGCCCTTTGTTATATTTTCCCTTTTTTTCTGGGGATGGGGGTCTTAGGTTACAGCTATACTTGTCAGTGCATAACTTCTCCATCAGTTTTGATTATCATGTCCTTTTCTTTTGGGGCCCAGGTTCCCATATTTAATTTATGAAGTCAGACCCCCTTATTGGAGTTAGAAAGAGCTACATAAAGAGAAAATGCTAGCTTTTTATGTAACTATTGTCTGTGTTTAGAATTGTACACCAGTTAAAATGAAGAAATATGTTCGTTATTTAACAATACTTTCTCACAACTGCATCTAAGAGCAGAATGCCACAAAAAAGAAGAAAGAGTGAGCAATACCAATGGTAACAGATTTCCTAGTGACAAAATGTATAAGTAGAAAAGATAACCCTACCTATATTCAACTTACCTTTCTAAAATATTCAAGGGCCTCTGTACTAACTTTACATAGATCTGCACAAAGCTGGACACCAGTGATGAGAACTCCATGGTGCTTCTCTTTAAGCAAGGCAGCTACAGGGTTTACAAAACTTTCCGCAAGATCTGGGACCTTCTTTATAATTCTTATAGAGCAAAGTGCTGCCTACAATAGACCGAAGTAAAGTGAGTAAATGTTGGCAATAACCATATGTAAGCTTAGGAACAAAGACACATCAAATTACTGGTACTCAAATACACAGATGAGAATACTTAAAGGATAATGGATTACCTTGAAAGATATGCATAAGTGAATTTTGTTGAAAGGAGGCAGAGAAAAAGGAAGAGTGATCAACTAGAATGAGAGCGCAAGATGATTGATCATTCTTATATGGAAAAGCCCACCAAAAACCAACTCCCCCACCCCCCTCCCCGCTCTCCCATCCAGGAGTTAATAGTGGCCCTTTCCCACTTTGCTTCCTGGGTGACTCATACCTCCAACCGTCCTATCCACTAGGCTATTCCTCCCTTAGCAGAGCCCAAGATGATGGATCAAAAAGGAAACTTTGATGGTTGATTGTGGAAAGTAATCATATAAATGCACGTGATTCCAAAAGTATCTAATGAGACATGCCTACTGACCTAACGGTAACAGCTACTCCTAAAACAATGTATGGTCTACATTGGTGACTCTAAGCAAAAGTAACTGTATCTGCTTTCTCCCCGTATTTAACTTGATTGTGGAGTCAATTTTCTGTTCAGTGATCCAGTGACAACGTCAAGCAAGAGCATTTAATCGCCAAGGATAATCAGTTCCCATCCATATTTAGTTCCCAATTCCTAAATAGACATTGATGGCAGCTCTACAAAAATGATGCACCATCCCAATTTATGTGAAGGTGTTTGATTGGTCATGGAGTTTAAGAAATAACTGAAGACTTTTGAAACTTGTGGTCTCAAAAAACTATAGAAATTTGTGTCACTAAAAATCATTTCATTAAAAGGTAAAACGGGAAATTTAAAGTTGAATTGTTACTAAATATACAAAGTGTCATTCTTTTTAGAACCGACTAAAAAGGAAAGAGTGTTACATAAATTGGGACAGAGGGAGTGATACAAATTTTACCATCTGGGATTTCAAAGTGTAATGGTTTCATTATGAAGCCCCCATCTCAACATTTTACTAAACCAGCAATCTCTCATCTGAAGGACAGTCTCCATATTACTGCTGGTCAAGGAAATACCACTTCTTTTTTTTTTTTTTGATTTGCACCGGGTGTCCGAGTCTCTAAGAGCCCCGACTAATCCCGGGGGTGCACAGGCCCTCGGCAAGGAGTTTCCCGCAAGTGCACCACGGTTAATTCAGGTTTTACCCAGTCCGATGGCCCTCAGAAATTGTTTGCACCCAGTGGGTTTCGAACTTGAGACCTTGAAAGGGAGCAAACCCCAAGGCTCAAGTCTATTGTCACCAGGCCAACCCCAAGGCTCAAGGAAATACCACTTCTTCTAATAAAAAATCCTGAAATTCCTGAGAATTTTTCTTTTTTCTAACACACAGAATTGGCTCACAGATCCCACAGACATCATAATAAATTTGAGCAAATTCACTTTCACAAAGTACCAAAATTCCTATTAAGCTATCAATGTTTCTCACACACACACTAAACATTTTATCTTTTCCTTCTAACTCAGATCCCTCTCCCTCTCTTCTGTACTGATGAACCTCAACTTTAATTGATTCATCCATGAATTCCTTAAGAAATTAATACTTAACGAGTTTGTGTAGGCAGACTTAATCCAACAGAATTTCACATTTTGGAATGGAACTTAATTACAATTCAAATGAAAAACTCTTATCTTTTAGCAAGAGATATAAGATGTACCTTCTTTCGAATATTAGGATCTCTAAACTGCAGCAACCTTTCAACTTCAGGTGCTAAATCACGAGCCATTTCTGCAGAACAAATGTTCCCCAAGGCACAAAGTGCAAGTCCAACAATATATTGGTTGGTGTGATTAAGATCTCTATTAAAAGTTAAGATATCAAAGAAAATCATAATTTCATCTTCCAGACGAACTGAGCAGCATCTATTTTCTTTTTAATTTTTTTTTCTCTTTATTGGGGGATAAATCAACTTGCATCATCTTATGAATTTTAGGTGTTTTCTGAAAAAGAAATAAAAGAGAGATTTGAAAACCTCTTTTCCAGAAAATCTTTCTTAAACATTTTAATTTGGTCCAATTATTCAAGTGCCTTCTAATAATGTAGAATACTAAATTAAAGAGAGACCACTATAAAAGCAGTAAGTTTGAAATGGATACTGTTTTATAGAATTTGTAACCAACATGAGAACTTCTTGTCTTTCATCAAGCAGCAACATTAGACCAAGATATCCTATTCGTTTTTCTGGAAATCCCGGAGATGCGATTAACTTCAAGCATTCCATTTGACCAAAATGTGTTGGATAACCAAGCATGTGAATGAACATGAGTTTTGCAAGATTACGATGTCTATAGTCTGGATCATTTTCACTGATTGAAGCTCTAATAGCAGCACACTCTTTTCTTACTACGGCACGCTCTTCTGCTGCAGTTTTGGAAGCACGTATAGCCCTAATCATGTCCCTGCATTGCAACAATAAGGGTACATCATGGTCTTTATCACACCTATGCTATCTCATGCACTAAGCATCTTCGGTTAACTAAACATAATCTGAAAGAGAAACTTTGCATCAGCATCCATACACAAATTTTCTTTTTTCCTGTGGGAATGTATCATGCAAGGATGGGGCAAATAAAATGAGGTAGTCAATCAGCAGCTGAAGATAAAACTTTTTTAAGGAATAAACATTGTAGTGCAGGTAATTCCTGTTTCCTGAATGCTTTCTGTGAGAAAATAAAATAATCCTTAATGAGTTCCATCTCCTTAGGGTCTATCCATAATGCTCTCTAACCTTTTTATTAAGAGGTTTATAATTTATGACTATTCTAGTTTCTCCTCTTTTGTCTTCACTCCAATTTCTTACAAAAACTCGCACAATTATAAGGGCTTTTGCTTTCTCTAATTAGGTTTTATTTTAAGAGTTCTTCCATAAATATTATATAGTCTTCTTCATCCTCAGCACTATATAACATTGGTGTCAAAAAGCTGTAAAACCATCAACCCATGAAGAAACACAATTTTTCATAATGTCCAACATCTTAACAAACGCCCATGTCCACATTCTCACTTCTAAAGCCTTGTCATCGAGGAAAAGGAGAAACCAACTCTTACAGAAGCCACCACTAAAGGGTTTGATTATTATATAAACATGATATGGAGCAACAGGCTCAAAAGAACAGACAACATAGCACATTGGGAATATCCTTCAATTTGGTCTTTCCCCTCTGACTGGCATTACAGGACAATCTGGAAATCAGGGGATCCATTTATTAATAAGTCTCATTTTTAAGCAATGTGAAGGGAAGCCTTGGAGCAACAGTAAAGTTGTCTCTGTTCAAGCCGTGGAATTAGCCACTGACGCTTGAAAGGTTAGGCTACCTACATCACGACCCCTTTGGCTGAGGCCCTTCCCCGGATCTAGTGTTCACCGGGCTGCCTTTATTTTTCGGCAATCTAGGATTACAAAGAAGCTTCCTGTGCTAACAAAATAACAAAGAATAGAAACAGGTTGCTGATCTTCATTTCTTGTGTATTAGTCCAAACTGCAAAGTGTTAAGACTATAACTATCCAAGGAAGAGAATTAAAGAAAGGGTCGAGAAAAAACAAGCAATTAACTTTAGTTTAAGGGTTAGTGTCTTTGTGGTGGTAAAAGACATAAAACTAAGCTAGCGTTTGGCCAAAGATCCAAAATTTATTTTGAAAAATCTGATTTGGGTGAAGTTTGATTTGAAGATGAAAATGTGTTTGGGCATACGTTTTCAAAACATATTTTCCAACTTTATTTTGGAAAAACATGTATATAATTCCCAAGTTTTGGGATTTTGGCCCAAAATCAGCTCAATAGCTGATTTTGGGATTTGGCCAAAATATGGGCAATATTTATGGCCAAACATGAGTTTTGAAAATAAATCCCAAATTTATTTTGGCAAAACTCATGGCCAAACGGGGCCTAAGATTCTAACTATCCAATCAGAAGAATTAAGGGCCACTAATGGTACTAATCACTAAAATACTGCATTCAAGGGATCCTATCACATAACACTTGCACAATTCAATGGTAATAACCACAAGTATTTTCATTCTGCTCGATCATAGTTCCAACCGTCCCCTCTTCCACTTAACTGAGTTCAAGAACCAACACAGTTCCATAGCTTAGACGATGCAACTCCAACCATTTTTGAAATGATTCTGCGTTTCGGCACAGCACTAAACCAAGAAACCCCATGGACAATTTAAAAGAGAAATTCAACAAATAAACAAAGGTTTACATTCACTTCCAAAAGTGATAAAATAATTAGGAATTAAGCTTAAATCCCTTGCAACCAAGTAAACGCATTACATGAATATAGCCCTTAAATAAATGAGACATTAATCACATCAGCCCAAGGATGCGGACCAAACCATTATCGACAATACGACAGAAATGCCGTTAGTGATTTCGACAAAGTTATGCAATTAAATCACAATGACAAAAACATAGCAGAAAATTGATGAACTTGGATTGTACTAACCTGAGACGCGTGCCGGAGGAGAAGGGATTCATGATTGGGTCCGTTTTGAAACTATGGGAAAGCTCGATCAGATCCAGGAGTGCTGACTTCTTTTAACTGTTTACAAGTTTGATTAGTGGTTAGCTCCACAAATGAGAGCTGAAGCTGAGAATTTGGAGATCTGGGGAAGATGCAATTGAACGATCTGGGAATGAATCAGTTGCTAATTCGTCCCTTTGGATCTGGAAATGAAGAAGGAGAGAGAGAGTGTGTGTGTAAAGAGAAATAACAGTGTCGATGATGATCTCTTTTGCAAATTGAATTGAACAAACAAACTGTTTATCACATGGAAAAAAGGGAAAGAAAAAAAAAATAACTGTACAAACAAACTACAATGCCTCTTCCTGTCTTAGTTTTTCTTTTCCTTTTTTTCTTTTTTATACTCCCTCCCTTTCAACAAAAAAAAAAAACTACACTATTTAAAAAGTCAAACAAAATTTTCTGTAATCATACCTTCTGTAAAATAGTTTTTAAATATTATAACTTATACTACTTCTTTATGTAGTTTCTAAATAATAAATTTAGTTTCAAAAAATATATAAATTTTATATGTTAATTCACACTAAAAATTAATTAATTTAACCATCTACCCCCGAAAAGATGCAAACACATTAATACAGATTGAAGTATTTTTCTGGGGTTAACTAAAGCAAATGACAACTTTTTTTTGGGGGATTTTCACAGTAGCTACTAGAAAATCTAATCTAATAAACTAGTCATATTATCGCCTAACGGTACGATTTATACTATTTAAAAAAGGAAAAGGGCCAATTTAGTCTCTGAACTTATTCGAGATGGGACAACCTTGCCCTCCATTTTATTTTCTGCACAAAAATATTCTTGTTGTTATCAAATAGCTTAAAAGAATCCTTGCTGTTATTCAAAAATTATTACACCTATGTTTAACGATGACAATAGCACAAATCTAAACAATTCTAATTGATTGCAAGAATTCAGGAACTTGAAAGGAAAGCTATGCAACTGCTGAAGATGTCAAAAGGAAAAGAGATCAAGTTGAAGCTGTTTTAAGCGATGTTTAAAGCAAATAAGGATGAGCAATCTATTCGGGAATAAAGGAGAATCTCTAGATAAAGAAATCTGAATATTTTGATGAAAGTTAGAGTGATCAAAGATCAATCAAGTTGCGACGATAATTGCTCCTAGAAATCATGAACACAAAAAGGAAAGAAGTTCATTGATTCAAGTCTTCCCTGCAAGCTGGATTCAGAGGCAACCCTTGGGTCGAATATCTTAGAATATCCTTTGCCTCAACAGTGGTCTATGTGCAACGGCTCCATCAATGAGAAGATCTTAAGACCTACCTATCTGAAGAACTGAAAGACATAAGGAAAATTATGCAGCATGTTTCTCTATCTTTCTAGTTATTAGTACAAATATTGTATTCTTGAGTCTACGAGTGTCACAAAAGATATGAAGAGTTAGAAAACAAACAAGAAGTTGTGTCAAGCATCAAGAACCGTTGTAACTGAATATCGTTGGTGGTGAACTAACTAAAACCACAATTGCTGTAACGATTCACATATTAAAGATCTAAGAGAACCCTTGCGACCCAAGGGAATTGAGCTAAGTACCACAATGGTGCTAAACTAGTAAAAAAAATTGTGTCTTTACTACTTTCTTACTCCTGCACAATTTGCTTATGCTAAACTCTAACCCTTGGGAAAAAAAGAGTTGATTATTGCTCTCTTTAGTCAACTGATTTTTAATTAGTCACAATTCACTGCTCCCCTCTTGTTTTTCAATTGGGATCAGAGCTAAGTCTCACAAGTATTGCTTAACAGTAAGTGAAGAAATGATCATGGGATCAAACAGTCATTGGAGCACTATTTTAAGAAGAAACTTATCAAGTAAGACCACGCTACTTTAATGGTCAACACTTTTCGCACTGGAAAGTGCGCATGGAAACCTACACAAAATCATATGACATTAAGGTATAGCATATGATCAAAAAGGGAGATCTCCTGATTCCACCAAGGAATGATAAAGACGGTGAGGTTATGGTATCATCCGACCCTCTCGATTTAGATGATTACACTGATGAACAAGCAGTCGTTGTTCGAGTGAATGCCAAGGCAATAAATATCCTGTACAATGCCATAAGTGTAGAAGAGTATGAGAAGATATCAAGCTGTGAAATTGCAAAAGAAATGTGGGACAAACTAGAAGTTACTTATGAAGGTGCAAACAAAGTCAAAGAGATAAAGATAAATCTTCTAGTTCATGAATATGAGCTATTTCAAATGAAGGAGGGTGAATCTGTTGAAGAAATGTTCTCAAGATTCAACAAGATCATTGGTGATCTGATCATTTGGAAGACCCTTAAAAACTGGAGAACAAGTCAGAAAAATTCTCAGAAGTTTACCTACAGCATGGCAGCCTAAAGTCATTGCCTTAGAATGTCAAGATCATGATAAAATGTCATATGATGAATTACGATGAGACCTCATAGCTTTAGAAAAGACTCATCTAAAAATATGTGCACCAGAAGAGAAAAAGAAAAATGTTCCTTTCAAGGTAACAGTAGCAGAGTCTGAAAATGAAGAAGAAGAAGAAGAAGAAGAAGAAGAAGAAGAAGGAGGAGGAGGAGGAGGAGGAGGAGGAGGAGGAGGAGGAGAACATGATGAAAATATATCAATGTTATCTAGGGTAGTATCAAATATGATGAGAAGAATCAGAGGAGGAAGAAAATGTAAATAATTTGCCAGAAAGGGAAGGACACAAAATAAAAATGATGGAAGGTGCTATGGATGTGGAAAATTTGGCCATATACAAGCTGAATGTCCAGAGATAAAAAAGAAAATCAACAAAGATTTTCGAAAGAAGAAATCATTCGGAGCTTGGAGTGATGAAGAAGGATCTGAAAGTGAAGAAATGGACAAAATATGCTTCATGGCAACATGAGGAAGTAATGATGAAGAACCAAAGAATGAACGAGTTGAAAAGTTAAGTCTTATGGCAATTGGAGAAACCAACGAGGTACGTCCCTGTCCTAAATGCATTGAACTTCAAGAATTTATTGATTTAGCTATGATTGATCTTGAAAAGGTCCTTCATGAACTTCACAAAATTCAAAAAGAAAAAAAGGACTGGGAACTAAAACTAGAGGTTTGTGAAATTGAAAGAGGCATGCTTCAGGAAGAAGTCTGTGAGCTCTAGCTTCAGTTAAATGGATTACGAAAATCCACCAGTCATAGCTCTATTAAGCCAAATAAGTCGATTAGTCAAAAAGATCCCAGGAGGGAACCTTTTATCAGATCCCATAAGGTAACTGAACATAGTCACCCTACTTGTTTTTATTGCAGTAAATCTGGTTATTTTTCTAATAGTTGTAGGTTCAGGAACAAAAGGCAATGGTTTTGGAGACCCAAAAAATCTAATGAGGCTTCCACCTCTAAGTCTAACTAAAAAGGACCCACTAGTGACTACAAGGTACGTTTTAAAAAAACCGGCTGGCCTATGATAGATGAATCAGCTAATTCTATTCTTTCTGGAAACAGATACAAGAATGTTTATACTCTTAGCAAACTAGATAATCTTGATAATCATATTTGTTTGGCATCCATGATAGATGATCCTTGGTTGTGGCATAAAAAATTAGGACATGCAAGCATGCATTCCATTGAAAAGCTTTCAAAACAAGATCTAGTCATTGGCCTTCCAAAACTGAATTTTTCAAAAAATCACATTTGTGATGCATGTCAATTTGGCAAACAGACTAGATTCTCTTTTAAATCAAAAGACATTGCCTCAACTTGAAAACCTTTGCAACTACTGCACATGGATCATTTTGGACCAACAAGAACATCTAGTATAAATGGTAAGAAATATGAATTTATCATTGTTGATGATTATTCTCATTTCACCTGGGTTATTTTCTTGAGTCACAAAGATGAGGCACTAAAGAACATTGAAGTCTTTTGCAAAAAAGTACAACGTGAAAAAGGTCTTTGCATTTCCTCAATAAGAAGTGATCATGGAGGAGAATTTTAGAGCAAGGTTTTTGAAACCTTCTGCAATGATTATGGAATCACACACAACTTCTCATCTTCAAGAACTCCTCAACAAAATGGGGTAGTAGAAAGGAAGAACCAGACATTGCAAGACACGACAAGAACAATGATCGCAGAAAGCTCATTACCTCACTATTTCTGGGCAGAAGAAATAAGCACAACATGTCATATCATTAATACATGCATAATCAGGCCAATCTTAAAGAAGACGCCTTACGAACTATGGAGAGGAAGAAGGCCAAATGTGAGTTACATTCACCCTTTTGGATGCAAGTGCTATGTTCACAACAATGGTAAGGATAACCTTGGTAAGTTCGATCTTAGAAGTGATGAAGGTATATTTCTTAGTTATTCTCCATCAAGTAGATCTTATAGAGTTTACAATAAACATACTATTATAGTAGAAGAATCAATTCATGTAGTTTTTATTGACACTACCCGTGGTGGGACTGTCATAAGAAGAAGAAGAAGAAGAAGAAGAAGAAGAAGAAGAAGAAGAAGAAGAAGAAGAAGAAGAAGAAGAAGAAGAAGAAGAAGAAGAAGATGAAGATCGTGTAGGTGAGTCAAAAATTGTTTAAGTCCTTGAAAACAATGCTGAAAACTCGATCCTAGATGAATCTCAGCTGACTACAAAAAAAGCTGCAGAAACTTCATCCTATATCTCCGAACAAATTCCTTAAAGAAATGAAAATGAGGTTGACAGTCCTCAAGAAGGCATTACCACCCGAAGGTCTCAGAAGTTGAACTCTCACATGGATCTAATATCCCAACTTGAGCCAAAGAAGGTTGATGAAGCACTCAAGGATGACAATTGGGTCAAAGTTATGAAAGAAGAACTTAAACAATTTGAAAGAAATAAAGTATGGAACCTAGTTCCAAAACCTTCTGATGTGTCAATCGTAGGAACAAAATGGGTATTCAGAAATAAGCTGAATAAGTCTGGTCAAGTAGTTTGCAACAAGGCAAGATTAGTCGCTCAAGGTTACTCACAGCAAGAAGGAATCGATTATGACAAAACCTTCGCTCATGTGGCAAGGTTAGAATCCATTCGAATATTGCTTACTTTTGTAGGTCACAAAGGTTTCAAACTATTTCGGATGGATGTAAAAACCGCTTTCTTAAATAGATACATCTCTGAAGAAGTTTATGTGAAACAACCTCTTGGATTTGTAAACAATAGTCTTCCAAATCATGTTTTCAAGTTATCAAAGTCCTTATACGGTCTCAAACAAGCTCCCTGAGCCTGGTATGAGAGACTAAGCTCCTTCCTATTAAATTATTGCTTCAAACGAGGTAATATCGT